CACGGGTGCCATGGGTAGGGGTGTAATGGGAAGGCGAGTCACGGGCAGGGGGGGTCACCGGGCAGGGGGGTCATGGATAGAGGAGTCAGGAGATGGGCAGGGGTGTCACAGGCAAGGGGGTCATGGGCAGGGGTGTCATGGGTAGGGGTGTCATGGGCAGGGGGCTCATGGATAGAGGAGTCAGGAGATGGGCAGGGGTGTCACAGGCAGGGGTTTCATGTGCATGGGTGTCACGGGCAGGGAGCTTATGGTCTGGGATGCCACGGGCAGGGGTGCTATGGGCAGGAATGTCACAGACAGGGCTGCAGCCTGTCCCCACGTGTTGCAGGTCCCCTGGAGCGCCTGGCCKGGTGCGGAGCGGCCCCATGAAGGAATCCACCTGCAGAGCTGCGGGGACCTGAGCTCCACCTCGTCCCTGCGCCGGCTCCTGTCRGCGCGCCGGCTGGAGCGCAGCCGGCCCCGGAGCCTCAGCGGGGCCTGCAAGGAGAGCGCGCTCTGAACCTCTGCGGGGACCCTCTGTGGGGACCCTACAGGGGGACCCTCCCTGGGGACCCTCCGCAGGGACCCTGTGGTGCCCCGGCGTGGAGAGGGTGCCCCGCTCTGGGCCCWGCCCTGGACATTGCTCGGACATTGCTGCTGCCCCGGTGGGGCCGGGCCCCGCGCCGCTGCCCCGGGGGCTCTGCCAGGTCCCTTCCCCACACGGGGTCGGGGCGAGGGGCTGGTCCCCTGGGTGTCTGCTGGGGGGCCGGGACGGCCGTGCCTGTCCCCTGCCCCGTCTGGGATGGCTATGCCTGTTCCTTGCCCTGTCCCTCGTTCTGGGCATGCCTGTCCCTTGCCCTGTCCCCTGTGCCAGCTGTGCCTATTCCCTGGGATGGCCACGCCTGTCCCCTGCCCTGTCCCATGTTCTGGCTGTGCCTGACCCACACACCGGCCATACCCTGTGCCCTGTGCCAGCCGTGCCTGTACCCTGGCATGGTTGTGACTGTCCCCTGTGCCGGCTGTGCCTGTGCCCTGGGACAGCCATGCCTGTCCCCTGCCCTGCCCCTGCACTGGCCGTGCCTGTCCTCTGCCCTGTTCTTTCGGCTGGTTATTCTGGCTTGGTCCCCGGTCCCCTGTGCCAGCCGTGCCTGGACCTTGCCTGTCCCCTGACCTGTCCCTTGCGCTGGCCTGGTCCCCGGTCCCCTGTGCCAGCCGTGCCCATACCCCAGAACTGCCATGCCTGTCCCTTGCCCTGTGCCCTGAGCTGGCTATGCCTGTCCCCTCTCCAGCCCCTCCGCCCCGCCCCGTCCGGTGCCGGTCCCGGTGCCGGTGCCCCGCGCTGGCCGTGCCTGTTCCTCCCCTCCCCGCCCGGCTGCGCCCGGGCCGCGCTGCGGGGCCGGTCCCGCGGCCACTGCCCCTCGCTACGGACCGAATAAAGGTGGTCGCCACCGCCCACGAGCCCGATGTCACGGGGCGGGCGGGACGGGACGGGGCGGGGCGGGGCGGGCCGTCAGCTGATCGGTCACGGGGTGCCGGGTGCCGGTTTCCCGGTGGTGGCTCCGCGGGACTGGGCAGCCGGTGCGGCGGGGAGGCAGCGGGGGTGGGGATCGGCACCGGGACAGGCACCGGCACCGGCACCGGCTGCACATCCCGGGGAGGCGCGGGGGGGAAGCGACCCTGCACCCGTGCGGTTGCCCCCGGTTCGCGGTTCCGGTACCGGCGCGGGGGAAGGGCCGGGGCCAGGCCCGCCCAGAATCGGTGTCGCTCCTGCACCGATTGGTGTGGGCGGGACGGGAGGCCCSGGTGCCCTTAAAGGCGAGGCCAGCGGCGGAGCCGGTGCTGCCGGGCCGGCTCCGAGCGTACCGGGAGCGGCGGGGCCATGGGGGCCGTCGGTGCCCTGTGCTGGCGGCTGCTGCTGCTGGCGCTGCTGGCCGTGCACCGGGCCGCAGGTGAGCGGGG